TCTCTCTCTCTCTCTCTCTCTCTCTCTCTCTCTCTCTCTCTCTCTCTCTCTCATTTCTCTTCTCTTCTCTCTCTCTTCCCATGATGACTCCCCTGGCCTCTGTCCTTGGGGCCGGTGAACTTGCCCGAGAGCAGCATCCCAGTAAACCTGCATGTAATATAATCTAATCTGGCTTGAAATGGCTCATTTCACCTAACTTATCAGTAGGATCCTTGATTTTTCTGTCTTTGTATACGTACATATATATGAATAATGTCTATGGCCAGGCAGTGGTGGCACACACCTTTAGTCCAGCACTTGGGAGGCACAAGCAGGTGGATTTCTGAGTTCGAGTCCAGCCTGGTCTACAGAGTGAGTCCATGACAGCCAGGGCTACACAGAGAAACCCTTCCTCAAAAAACCAAATAATAATAATAATGTCTATAGATACTATCTGTGTGTATGCATATATATAAATATATATATATGTGTGTGTGTGTGTGTGTGTATGTGTGTGTGTGTGTGTGTGCATGTGGGTGTGTGTGTGATGAATAATGTCTATAGTTCTCAACTCTGGCTGCCTCAGAATTACTTGGGAAAAAACCCACAGAATTAATAGTGTCATTTGCCAAGCAAACCTTTACGCATCCAGGTGTAAGAACAAATGCTAAGAACCAGGGTTTTGTATGAAATACATAGCTTTCTCGTATATGATAGATGCTTTCATTTGCAATAATATGGCTGTTCTTTAACACATGTGAAACTCAATGATTATGATCTGAATCTAGGCATGCTTCCATGCATCATCGGTCCCAGCAATCCAAGAGGCTGAGGGGAGAAATATTTCCTGAGCCCAAGAATTCAAGCCCAGCCTCTGCAACACATCGAGAACCATCTCTAAATAATAGGATCAAAGTTCAAATTAACATAGGCAATTCTCATACCTCTTGGGTTACCAGGATGGAGCCCAGGTCATCTGGCTTGCATTGTCCATCCAGTGGCAAGTGTCTTTGACGGTTGAACCATTTCACTGGTCCAGAAATAAGTCTTACCTAGTGCAGCATCCTTCCCAGTATAGGGTACACATTCACAACATCTGGTCCAGCAATGTTAGAAAAGTCGCCTAAGGTATTATTGACCAGGCTGGGAATGTTGGCTTCTGATTTAGTCTAATTGGGTTTAAGTTGGTAAATGTTAAGTATTAAATAGCTCTCTGTACTCATATTCTCATCTTAGAAATGTGGAGCCTACTTTATAGACCTGAGATCAGTACAGAACACATAGGGAGTCAAAGCTGTAAAGCTCTGAGAATGGGGTGTGGCTCCAGCGGAAGGCCACACAGCCAAGAGTGTACGGACGGCACCAACTGGACTCAGGGGTCTAAAAATTAAGTAAGAAGAGAACACAAGGATGGGTGAGAAGGGAAGTAGAGCTGGATCTGGGGAAGAGTTGGGGGAGGAGTAAAGATGATCCAAATACACTGTATGAAATTCTGAAAGAATAAACAGAGAGAGGGAAGTGGCACACAGCCATGGGGTATGTAAACAGCTGAGATTATTAATATTAGACATGGTCTCAAATAAGTGAAGATGGGGCATTTTAAGACATGGCCAACCATCTTCCATTCCAACGGTTCATCTACGAGTGTGGCGTATTCCGTTCGCGTTCTGCTCTACATATGACTACCTCACACCTCTCTCTCCGGCTTGGACCCTTTGGCTTTTCCTCTGTCTTTTGAGAACACAAAGAACGCAGGCTGCAGCCATTCAGATAGTTACAGCTTGCTCTGCTCAGACATCCTTTCTTGGATGCAGTGCTCTAGTTCTTTCAACTAGTCCTCCATGACATCATTTGAACTTTTTTCAAACTTATAATAGTTAAATAAATTAATTGTCAATCCACTAGATAGTTTCTCAAAATTTTTACCTTCTTAGATTTTTTTTTAAATCTTTTCTGGATGAGTGCCAGAAGTGAGGGACCTTCAGTTTACCTCATCTCCTCACTGACTGGAGACATTCACTGCATTCCTCGAAGACAGGCTAAGGTTTCATCTTTGGAGGGAGCAGACAGAATAATGGTATGCTGACTCGTCTAAATCAGTATATAACAATGAGAATGAGAAATCCTTGTTTGTGTGTTCTCTACTGCATCCTTCTTAATAGACAACCAGTATAGACTAACTAGGTTTGGGAATCTATTTGCAGAATGATTGTTAAAGCTCTCTTTATGACATTCAAGCTTGTTGATTTAGCCTATAGCCAATTCTTTTAACCAACTCATTAATTTGACTGTCCAGTTTTGAGTTAATCCTAAGAAAATGTACAGAGCAAAAGTTCTCAACAGTGCAGAGGACTGTGTGTCCTAAGGGATTGGCTGGAAGCCAGATACAGGACTCCACAAGGGGGCGTTGCTCAGACATAGTCACCAGTGTCCAGGGGCCGATTCTCACTCCCCAAATCTTGAACAATCTCTGCAGTGTGCTGGAGCGAGTCATAGTTATTAACCAGTAACTGATGTAGGAAACCAACTCAAGTTTGACTTTACTTTGTGAAATATAGTGGTAGAAAAAAAAATCATAGCTTGTGATGGGGTCTTTTGTTTGCTTGCATGCTTGCTTGATTGATTGATTGATTGATTGATTGATTGTTGCTTTGGTTCTTATCTGATGCCAAACACAGTTCTAAAACTTTCTGCACACATTATCTCATTGTTTTTAAAACACAAGGCAGATGTTAATATCATAACTTTGCAAGTGAGAAAGAAGAACAGTTAGACGTTGAGTCTTTTCCTCTCACCCACCTCATGCAATGCATTTCTAAGACCGGATGCCAAGCGGCCAGCTATGAAAACTTTTGAATTCACCCTTGTCCCCACCTCTTCAAGTACCAGGCTCACTGTCACCATAGATAGCCTCTGTTCCTACAATCCATTTTATCTTTAAAATTTCTTGTCGTGGGAGTTGGAGAGGAAAGATGCCCTAGCAGTTAAGGGCACTGGCCGTTATTCCGGAATACCAGGGTTCAGTTCCCAGCACTCCCATGACAACTTAATCCGTTTTCTGTCCTTGTCCTTTGTATTCTTGAAAGAGCTACCAGAATGCCACTCCTGTTTACAGCGTTGAGTGACTGAGTGTTGCCATCACAGTAGAACGCAATACAAACCCTCATCATGGCATAAAAGCCCTTCCTGGTGGGGTTGTAGATCGGGGCAGCATCTCACGCCCCGGTCTTTGTTCCTACTCCCCTTTAGCCCCTTTCTCTAGTGTCTTACTAAGCAGGCAAGTAAGACCACTCATGACTAACCGAATACACTGTGCAATCGCTTCCTACCGCCTTTGCCCGTTGCCAGTATTCAGCCGCACCCCCGAGACACTTGGCCTGCATTCGAATCCTAACAAGAACCCCAGGAGGCAAACACAGCCATTTTTTTTAGAGATAAGGAAAATAGTGTGGAAGGGCCTACTTGACAAGACTCACAGCTAAGGGTGGGCAGGGGTGGCTTTGTTGACCCAGGCACGTTTCTAGCAGGCTTTCCTCTTCCCTCTGTGGTGACCTAACTTCTCTGGCTACCTGGTTGCTTCTTAACCTGCATCACCAGTTCCTTGCAGGCAGGAGCTGTGCAAATGTCTAACCCGTACTGGTTCCTTCAGATGTTTTCGTTGAGAACCAGGACAGTGCTCCTGGGAAACTGGACCACACTAGTTTCACCTAAAAGGTGGAGTTCACTGTTCTCTGGGTCGATATCAAATTTAAGGAAGGCTCGTAGGGACAGCCCAGCCTAGGCTAAGAGCCCACTTACCGGAGGTGTTCACTACAGCAGCTAGTTTCTAGTCACACCAGCCCAAGGACTCCGTTTACTGCGGTTGCCACAGCAACGCCACTCTGCCTGCTAGTAGTGATGTGGGGGAGGGGAACTACAGGCTATTTAGCGCATGCGCAGCATGCCCCAAGGCTTTGCCTAAACTGAGGTGTTGCGGAAGAGTCCTCTGTCCTGGGCAAGAGGGTACTGCGACCCACTTCTCCCTAGAAAACAGAAGCCCAGCATTCCAACAGTTTATGAACCGAATGACTGAGCTTTTGGGTACTTGCCCAACTTTCCAAACCGGCCAAAGGGTCCTAAGGCAACTGTTTGCCAATCAAAAACAAAACTTTTAAAATGGTGTGGTCTTGGCTACAGCAGGCAGCTTCCAGCTACATCAACATCGAAGATGAGTATTTTCTAAAGCCTATCTGTGGTTTGTAAGAGTAAATAAGGGCCTGTGTTGTGAATTCTTGCTGCAGGAGGTGGGCACGTACAAAGCAGAGGCTTAACTGTTGGGTTTTTGTTTTTAATCTGCAATGTATGTATTGGACAAAGGACTTGTATATAAAATATATGAAGCCGGGCGGTGGTGGCGCACGCCTTTAATCCCAGCACTCGGGAGGCAGAGGCAGGCGGATTTCTGAGTTCGAGGCCAGCCTGGTCTACAGAGTGAGTTCCAGGACAGCCCGGGCTATACAGAGAAACCCTGTCTCGAAAAAACAAAAAAAAAAAAAAAAAAAAAAATATATATGAAGAACTCATGCCTTTAATAAAAAGGAAAATAACCCAACAAAAATTGAGTAAAAAGTTTTGAAGCTACTATATGAAAGAAGACCTACAAATATCAATGAACAGACCAAAATAAGTAAGGTATCAACATCAGGGATGAAAACACAAATTAAGATACCATGACTCAGTCTCTGAAAAAGTAAAAAGACTGACCAAATACTGGGTAGGACTAGGAGTAACAAGAGAAGGTACATGTTGTTAGTGAGAGTGTAAAAGGGGGTGTCAGAAAACCACTTAATTTCTTAAAATTCAACCATGCATTTTCATGTAAGGCAGCAATTCATTTCTAGTTTTGTATCTAAGACAAATAAAATATTTAACCCCCTTCATAGTAGATTCGTTTGTAACAGATTAAAGCTGGAAACAAGTCCAGGCATTTGGTATCAGGACGCTAAGTATGAAATTATGACACAGTCGTAGGATCAAATACGAATACAGAATACAAAGGTTTATCTATTGACACACATAACATGGATCAATCTCAAAATCATTGAGAAAACCATTAAATGTGAGAAGCCAAAATAAAGATATTGTTGTTAATTCTGAGATTTAACAGAGAAAAACCAATTCCACCATTTTAGGCCAAATTTGAAGCAAGCTTTATTAAATATTAAATACTGACCAAGAGATGGGCTTTGTTCAGGATCACTCCTTGCAACTTCCCAACTGAGTGGCTCCGGGACGCTTCTTGCAAGGGTATACATATAAAGACAAACCTATAGGCCACCATACTTTGTCATGAGGTTTTTGTTATATTCCAGAACCACAACTCCCACCATTCCAGGAAGTTACCTGGTCCTTGGGCAGGTAGGGCTTACAGGTTAATTTTGAGTATTACTGTGTATTCCGAATGACTCCATTTATATGAAATTCTAAAATAACCTTCGGGGATAGAAACCACATTTATAATGTTTTCTGCCGGTGTACAGTGGTAGGACTAACAGAGATGGACATATAAGGCCAGCGGGATTGGTACTTTATACACATCCTAAAACTGATTGGTAAATTAAAGTCTAAGCATTCAACCGTACATAAATTGTACGTTAACTACAGCATTTAGAGGGTAGAGGTGACCCACATAATTTCAGAAGCCAGATACAGTTTTCAAATAAATACTAAGTTTAACACTAAGGCTGAGGAGGTATAAGAATAACTATTAATTCACGAGGAAGGAGAATCAGCGTTTTGAACAGGGTGATTCTTATTTTAGCACACGCTCTTTGGACATCTTTTGATAAGACATTAACTTTGAGGCCTCTAGTTAAGAGCAAATATTATTCTCTATTATCTCCCCCTTTGACACAGAGACAATCCTCTGGGGTCAGACATATCTTCCCTACAGCCGTAAATCTCCCCAGTTACCCAGAACAGAAATCTCCAATTTATGTCCAGTTCATAGACCATGAAGCCACAGAGCCAGCTGCAATTCCACATGTAGCAGTTCAGAAGGTCTGACCCCAGAGAGTGCACACCCCTCAGCGGGATGCTCGGCTGTGCAGGAAGCCTCACTCACTTCCATGTAGGAATGTTTCCCATCAGTGACTCATTGTCTTTCTCAGTCATCAGCTAGCTAATTGAGAGATCTGTTGATTCTCCTTTGTTCTCCTCTGTAGGATTCCAGTTTTACCAAACCGCCCACACCCCGCCCCCTATTTCCTTACAGTTTGGAGACTTCTAGAGGTTTTTCTTCACTGATGGAAAGGAAATAGGCACTGCTGACACTACTCTATTTCCAAAGTGGATGAGATCTTTGCTGCTGTCTGAGCTGGACTGAACCAGGAGACAAGGAGCCAAGAAGGCTAAAACCGTAGAGGGTCTAGCAGACTGGGCTCTTAACAGCATGGCTAAGGCGCTGCACCACATTTGGACAGTTTACTTCCTGAATTTTTGTTCTAATAAATAGAGATACTAGTTAGGAACATTCCAGGACACAGCAAGCATCAAGGGAGGCCCTAGAGAAGATTGTCCTCAAAGCATATAGGAACGTATAGAAAAGAAGTGGGTAACTCCAGAGATTAACTCTGTTCTAAGCCGGGTCCTATGTATAAGTCCAGCTCAAAGATTAGATGAAAGCAGAGGTCTAAAGTATTGACAGAATTAATATTGTTTTATGATTTAACTTGTTAAAGCATTCTCTCCATTCGTGTGTGTGTGTGTGTGTGCAGAACATTCAGAACATGCACATGTGTGCATACAGCAACAGCATTAAGAGGGGAAAATATAAAGTACTCAGATTGAAAATAATGACTTTCAAGGTCTAAAAGCTGTTTGAATGGGGGCAAAATTAAAGCTAGAAAAACATAAAGGAAAATGTGTGCTGAAGTGGAAACTTCATTTGCTTCTTTCTTTGGAAAGTCAGTTATGTCAAATGATGTTTTGCTGAAGCAGACATGTGAAAGGGCATGTGATACATTAGAAGGAATATATATATACATACATATATATATATATATATATATATATATATATATATATATATATATA